CAACCGCCGCTTCCGAGGGCATTTCACACATCCTCAGGTGCGAAGGTGATCCACTGTCTGCTGGGCTTCCCGAGAAATAGGTCACGTCGCCCCCACCGTTTCCCACGACCGCCAGCACCCCCTTTCCGCCGGTGTGTCCCCTGGAAGGACTTGGCATTTTTAGTCCGTTCTGGTTAATTGTCCACTGGCAGCCAAAGGGACCTCTGCTGTAGTCTTTCTGCTGTACCTGGCCTCTCTTGAACTCCAATCCCCCATAGCCATCTACCTTCTTGAGACTCTTCCCTTCCCTTCTCCAACGTCTAGAATAAGTAGCCCTTTGTTGAAGCACTAGGTCGGGAAGAAACACCGGAGGGTCTCCTTTGCTCTAATGGGAAGCAAAACAGTTACTGTAGAGGGTGAGGATATGATGGCCAAGGTGGGGAGGAACAAAGTCAGCCAGGAATACGTAGAACATTTATACCGACCGAAGGGAACCACGGTACCTTGAGTGGAAGTTTGCCCTTGAAGAGACATGCCATCTTCTACCCATTGACACATCTAAGAAGTCTGAAGAGATGTTCTGACAATAATCATATTTTAGGTTCCAAGTAATATATAGAAAGGTAAACATTGTGTATGTTAAGGGCAAATATATAATAATATATTAATTCTTCATAAGATACTGTTCCTGCATAGAACGAATTGGCCAAACGTTTCTTTCATCATAGCTAATTAGAGCTGATCTTTACTTGAGGTGTTATGGTTAGACAAACAGAAGGCAAAATGGTTTCCTTTACTGTCAAGTTGTAGTTAAAAGGAATTTTAGGAAGTTCACATTTATGTCTTTGAATCTTTCACTATTGGCTACAACCTTTCAGTCATGAAAAAACTTTGTATAAATATGTTTACTAAAAACTCAAAAATTCTTTCTGATAGAAAATTATTTTGTAAACTTGGCTTCCGATGCTCTTCCCCCTCTTCCAGGAAGGTGAGGGTGGCAAATATTCCTTTTCTCTGTTTAAAGAGTCCATGATATGAGGCAGTATTTCAAAACAGCAACTGGATATAATAGTGGGAATTCATTCTTGTCTTCAACAGAAACATTTTCACCATGTTAATTTGGATCTAACAAATATGTAAGGATTATTTTTTAGTTATGGGAAGCTAAAAATATACAAATAAAAGTAACACTTTGTTTGATTTAACCTAGGCCCAGGGTTATGAATGAGGCAGCATTTTGTTCATTTGGAATTTAGAAGATAAGAGATTAGCTTGTGTGTGGAGTTTAGAAGATAAGGGATTAGGTTAGAGTTCTAGTAACAAGTTGGAAAAATAGCAGTGGCAAAGGAATGTTCTAAAGGAATTCTAAAGGAATATTAAGCCACTTCCATGTGATGGCCATTGATTTTGGTGGGGAATTGCATGGGGAAAGGCACTGGAGACAATACCCTGGCATGCATTTGACAGAATCTCTGACGTGGGTATTTGTTTTTTAGGTTGTGTATCTGGTGGGTGTAAGGAGAAAAGACTGGAAAGTGTGTTCTTGGGAGTAATAGGGTAACTACTTCAGGCAAAGAAACATACAAATGTGCATACATAAAAACCAAGTCTTGCTCACTTTTTTCACTTCTCTTTTTCTCCTGACGTATCCTAAACCCAGTTGTATTCTAAGAATAGAGTCCATTTTAATGAAAGAAGTACAGGGGCTGCCAACGGTCAGATTTTCTTATAGTTGAACTCATATATATATATATAGATATATATCTATATATATCTATATATATCTATATATATATATATATAGTTATAGAAGTTCATTGTGTGTGTGTGTATATATATATATACAGAGTTTATATATATTATATATATATACAGAGTTTATATATATAATATATATAAAGAGTTTATATATATATAATATATATATATAAAGAGTTTATATATACACACACACATTGAACTTCTATAACTATATAGATGAACTTTAGTTCAGTTAGTCAGCATTTTGAAGATTTGTTGAATAACATGAATTTAATTCATATTTTTGCAGTGTAGATATTACATCAATCCACATATACCTAGATTATTGTAGTTTTCACACATTCCCTATTTTTTACCATTCTGCCTGTTGGTATGTGCAGAAGGTATGTCAGTTGTGTATTGTCTACACGATAGGCTTGGTTCACTAGGGAATTGTGTTTCTGATGTGGGTGGAATGTAATTCTAAGTTCAAGAATACTGGGCCAACTTCGTTCGCTTTAATTCTGTGTTCTAAGCCCTTGGCTCTTCTGTTTCTCTTCACCTAGTTTTTATTCTGCTTGACCATTTCTTTAGTTATATGTCTGACTGTACTGCTACTTCTTAGTCTCCACTTTGTTTTCTGTGTTCTACTTCAGCTTATGGTTTGAATACTTATGTCATTTTTTTTTTTTTTTACAATAGCATCCTCTGTTCTAGTACCTTTTTATCTAGATCCATTGAAATAGTTGTCTTGTTCACCTTTCAGGAATGTCCTTGATAAGAAATGTGAAAATCACATGTTTTTCCCTTTTTTTTTCTTTTGCTCCACTTTGTTATTTTGTTTTTAGTGGCAATTTATTTTACAATATTTGTTAAAACTTTCTAAACTAAGTAACAAGTCTGAGTAATAGTAGATAATCTGTTTTGGCCTGGGGATATCAAGCTCTCGAGAGGCAGACTTTTTTCCTGGGAATTGATTAGTTCAGAGCCATTTATATAAAAGGAATAAGACCTTTATGAACAGAAATGCATCCTGCCTTACATTTCTAAAATTCTGGATTTAAACTTTGTCAAATATATCTTGCAGATGTTCTGAAAACATACAGACGATATTCTGTGAAGTTAGTCAGAATAGAGCCCTATGAGGTAACCCTTAACAATAAATAAGAGCTGAATGTGTTTTAGTTCTTTATTTTTAAAAAACAAATGTAAAAGAATGCCCTTCTAATCCTATCAGTCTTCATATGCATCTAAAAACATCTAAAAGTATATGAATGTTTGGCCATCACTTTATCATGATAGAAGTAGATTTTATATTTTGATAAATCAAGGTAAAGAATTCTTTAATTAGCTGTTTAAGTTACTGACAATCTGAAAATTCATCAATATCTTAACCCTAAAGAAGGTGGAAGAAGGGTTAGCTATTTCACACTGTAGCGATATATAGTTTTAGCATGTGAAGCATCCAAGGAAGAATCAAGTGGTGGGTAGTTTTAGATCTCAGAAACACCTGTTGTGAAGAGCAAAAAATGTTTCTTTAGGTCTTAAAGGATTGTTTCTGGTAGTTCAAAGTGTGTATACATATGGAATTGCTAGTCCAGTACCATAAAAACTGTTTTTTTGTACTTTAAGGGAAAAAAAAAGAAAAGCAGTTTTTAAGAGGTATGTATCATTTGAATACATTCAGTCTTCTGAATTAGACTTTTTTTCCCCCGTTAGATTTAGACTTCTTGATTTCCAGGTTACTTTAGAATTTGTGTGTGTGTATATATATGTATATATATATATATATACACACATGTATTTGTTTTTGTCATTAATGCTTTATTTTTTTAATTTTTATTATTTTTTAAGAGTTTATATTAAGAAAATTGGCTTGAATCAGGCAGTGCCAAACCAGAAGTGGTTAGGAGTGCTCCTAGTGCTCTATTCTTTAGAGGAAATTAAACACCACAGAAATAGAATGAAAGATGTATAACATATTGAATGGGTTTACAATTAAAATATTTGGAAAAGTAGGTATTTGAGTGCCATCTTTTACCATATAGTTTAATAGAGGAGTAGCACATGAATTAGACGTCCCCTCTGTTTTATAGATTAGTTTAATAGAACAAATTGAAAGGAATTTGTGAACCACATAATTTAACATCCTCCCTGGGAAAATAAAGCTAGCTTTTTTTTTTTTTTAATTTTTATTTATTTACTTTGAGAGAGAGAGAGAGAACCACTGGGGGAGGGGCAGAGAAAGAGAGAAAGAGGGAGAGAGAATCCCATATGGGCTCTGCAGGTTCCATGCTCAGCTCAGAGCCCAATATGGGGCTTGATCCCATGACTGTGAGATCATGACCTGAGCTGAAATCAAGAGTCAGATGCTCAACCAACTGAGCCACCCAGGCACCCCAGGCTAGTTTTGTTTATTGTGTTCAAGAATCACAGTCTGAAAAATAATTTCAGCCTGCAACATGTATATTTTCTTTTTTCCTCATTATATAGTAATGCCCTTTCTCTCTCTTCATCATCTCCACTTTTGAATTCCTTTCTACCTTACTAGATAGGAGAAAGCAAATATCAGAATCCCTGGGCTTGAGTATATGGATTTTTAACAAACTCTACAGGTGATTTCAGATGTAAATCAGTGTTTGAGAGCTGCCGATACCTAGGATATCTAGGAAGGGACTCTACTGGGGATACTCTGAGGAAAAAAAGACTATGGAAAATAATTTTTTTTTTGATCATAGAAAATTTTTGATTAAGAAAGGAAGAAAAGAACTGAGTCAAAGTTTTCAAGCCTGACTTTTCTGCAAAGATGAGCTTTAAAAAAAATTGAAAAGGAGTAAAGAGCATTTTCTTTTTGGTTTGTGTTATAGTTCTTATTTGATCCCCACTTATTTCTTTTATGTATATGGTTAAGTGTTTACTTCTGTGCATATTATTAAGGTTTCTCAATGATCTGAAAGACTGAGTGGAATTTCTAAAACTTCTACGAAGTAGCTTATAGATTGGAAAAATCTGGGTTAATCAACTGAGGTTAAAAAGGTAAGATGACTGAATCATCTATAAAAGTCTTTGAACATTGAATTTGATTTAACATTTGATTTAATATTGGAGTTTGGCTACTTTGTCTCTTACTAAGATTGAGAACCAAGCAAAAGTTTATTTGATTATTTTTTTAGCATTGTATGTGTAATCTTGTATTCTGGATTCTGAACTTGTTTTTACCAGAACTAAATTTCTGTTGTGTTAAACATGGCTGAGAATTGAACATATTCATGTTTTGTAACTTTTAGTTTACTACATCCAGTGGTACAATATAAAATTAGTAAACGCGCTCTTCCTCTTTTATGCAGGACCAGTGGCTGTAGGACAATTCCACCGGTCATTCCGGCGAGATAGTTTGTCTCCTTACTCCTACGTATCAACTTCATCCCACAACCATAGTACTTTCCCTCTGAAAGGTTTAGATCGGACCCCGATTCCTCCTAGAACATGGCAGAACTCCCTTGGAATGCATCCAGGACAAGTGGAAACGTCTCCCACTTTTTCAGATAAAGGGGTTCCATTTCCTGTACTGCAGAGGTTTCCTACTGAGGTTACCTATACCCTGCAGCCAAGCGCCACATCTGTACACGTTCAGCAAGGTCCTCAAACAATGGTCAGCTCCTCCCAAAAATACAGTAACTACACACCCTCAGCGCAGTACTCCCAAGCCTACTATCCAACAGGTATGAGAAATTCAAGTTCAGTGGCTTCTCTTAAAGTATTTTATAATGGGCATTTGTATTTCTTTTTTTTTTTTTTTTTTTTTTTTTTTTTTTTTTTTTTTTAATTTTTTTTTTTTTTCAACGTTTATTTATTTTTGGGACAGAGAGAGACAGAGCATGAACGGGGGAGGGGCAGAGAGAGAGGGAGACACAGAATCGGAAACAGGCTCCAGGCTCTGAGCCATCAGCCCAGAGCCCGACGCGGGGCTCGAACTCACGGACCGCGAGATCGCGACCTGGCTGAAGTCGGACGCTTAACCGACTGCGCCACCCAGGCGCCCCGGGCATTTGTATTTCTAAATGCATCTCTGCATTCTTAAAAATAGTATGAATATGCACATAAGAAATGTCAAAGATTTCTCATCAGAACATATTTTTGAGCAATATATAAAATTTCATTGTGTTCTTAAAGATTGTGAACATTTTGTTGGCACAGAAAGATGTATGTTTTTAGTGAAACTTTTATATCTTCAAAATGGGTCCTAGTAATGAAATTAGGACATAACTACACTGGGACCTTGTTCTGACTCTGCTCTTGTTGCAGTATTTTGTTTCTTTAAAAAACATTTATATACATGTTATAGTTGACCCTTGAACAATGCAGGGTTGGGATGCTGACCCCATGCAGTTGAAAATCTGTGTGTAACTTTTCATCCTCCCAAAACTTAACTAGTAACCTCTTTTCACTGGAAGCCTTACCTAAGATAACATAAACTGTTGGTTAGCACATTTTTTGTATGTTATGTTTGTTTGTATGTATGTATGTATGTATGTATGTATGTTTTTGTATGTTATGTACTATATTCTTATAACATAGTAAGTTAGAGAAAAGAAAATGTTAAGAAAATCATAAGAGAAAATACATTTACAATACTGTACTGTATCAAAAATATCCAAAAATACCCACATAGTTCAAACTCATGTTATTCAAGGGTCAACTGTATATATTACATTTTTTAATGTTATAGGTGAGATTACCTCATAATGAAATCATTTTAGCATCTCAGTAATGAAGTTTAATAAAAGAGCATACTTTCTATCTCTTAAAACTAAATTATATTCTTCTAGTAAAAACGTGATGGTGTGGTTTGACAGGGCAGTCCCTGCAGTGTTAATCCCAGCCAACTAAGAACTGCAGAGTAGCAGAGAAGAGAACCTGACAGTGACAGCTGACCTAGAGCTCAACCAAGGGTATTGAAGACATACTGTAGATCTCAAGCCACTAATCAGGAATCCTTATGATAGTGACCATGTGTTTAGCTTCTTGGGGTGGGTGGGGAGAGTGTTTTTTTTTGGGGGGGGGGTTACACTTTTGCAAGATAATAGCCTTACCTTTCCATTCAAATGTATTTTCTGTTTTGCAGGAACACCATATAATCGTGGTGTATTTCATCATGTAAAGTGCTTTAATACTGAGTGACAAAAGGGGCAATAGACATATGACAAGGGTCAAGGCTTTCAGAAAAGACCAGAGAGAGAAGAAAGAGGGTATTCCTTTGCCCAATGAATTAAGGGTCTAGGAATATTAATTTTCTCAAATATGTAGATCTGGAAGCACCATTTCTGCCAGGCAGGAGGAAATCCAAAGCTAGAATAGGTGAAAAGAATGTAAATTAGGGGAATTAAATAATTTGTTGACTTTTAAAAGTTATAAATCTGTTAACTTCTGTTTGTAACAGTACTCACTATTTTCTAGCTGTATCACCCAACTGTATTCTTTTACTATTGGCTTATTGCATTCTACCTAAATATAGCAGTAAAAGAGATTGCTTGATTTTCCCAAAATATATAATATTTTGATATTAAAATAATAAAACAAGAATTTAAATTAGATTGGGTTTTGTATATTTTTAGAGCTGCTACTGTTTTGGTGGATGGAATTGAGAAGGAAAAGGCAAAGGAAGTATATGGATTAAGGATGACTTAGCACTTTTATTCATTTTGCCTATTAGAAATTTTTTTTAAATGTTTAGTTTTGAGAGAGACAGAGCGCCCATGCGTGCACAAGCACGGGAGGGGCAGAGAGAGGGGGACAGAGGGTCTGAAGTGGGTTCTGCGCTGACAGCAGTGAGCCTGATGTGGGGCTCAAACTCACCAACCAAGAGATTATGACCTGAACTGAGAGATAATGACCTGAACTGAGAGATCATGACCTGATGTTCAACCGACTTAGCCACCCCAGTGCCCCTTGCCTATTAGAAATTTTAAAAAAGGTTGAAGCCTAGTATTTTTTCATATTTTCAGCTACTTCTTTGAAAAACAAAAAATAGATGACTAAATTCATGTTAGAAGTTTTATATCTTCTAGTGAATAGTATAGTTCAACATTTTAATGAACAGATTAGGCATTACTATCTAAATTATAATTTCAGCTGTGTTCCATGCAGGCATACAATACATATGCATAGAGAGAGAGACAGTCTGTGTCTTCCTTACACTTGTTTTACATTCTGTAGCCCATCAACTGGATAATACCCTTACCTCCCTTCCCTTTACCAGTAAGTGTTTCCTTTCCTAAACTCCCTCCAAACCCCCTTCCTCAAACTACTAAAGACTCAGAAGCTGTTGGGGAGTTTAAATTTGGAAGGCCTGCAGCAAGAGAAATGTAGAAATGTACTTGGCTTTCCAATTTGGAATTTTGGAGGCATTTTCCTATGGACATATTAGATATGGTGGTTAGGTTCTATATTATTAGTCCTACACTTATGGTACAGGTGGTTATAATCTGGTCTAGGAGCCAAATTAACTTATATGATGTTGTTTCTATGGGAACATGTATTTCAAGTTCCAGACAATCTTCTCAGAAACACCTAGTTCTAAATTTTTTGAGAACCACTTAAGTATCATTTACCAGAAAACACTACAAATAGTTACTATTATTCATTCATTATAGAAATACTGTTTGTTAAATTATTATGATTTAGGATATGTTATTTAAAAAATATTTTATGTTAGCTTGGATGTAAAATTATAAGTTGAAAATTGTCAAATAAAGAAATAAATAGGTGAATAGATTAATTAATTGAAAATTATGTCCAAGAGTTCAAGGTAAGGGCTAGGAAACAGACATTAAAAGAACAGGTAAGTGCTGCTGATGTTTTGATAGTGTACAGTACATGTGAAATAGAATCTTGTGTTATCTGAATTTTTGTTTTGGGAACGTTGAAGTGACTATAAAGTTTCTGAGGTTCTGAAAATAAGTTTCATGATCTCATGATGATACCTACTACATAGACTAGGTCTATGCTATAATGTAATAAGCAAGACTGCTTTGAACATTCTAAAGTACTATATAAATAAAAAGTTGTATTGTTGGGGTGCCTGGGTGGCTCAGTTGGTTGAGCATCAACTCTTGGTTTCAGGTCGGGTCATGATCTCAGAGTTCATGAGATTGAGCCCCGCATGAGGCTCTGTGCTGGCAGGGTGGGGACTGCCTGGGATTCTCTCTCCTTCAGCGCCCCCCACCTCAAAAATACATAAATAAACTTAAAAAAAAAAAGGTTGTATTTGTAAGTAAAAGAGACCTACTATGGAAAAGAAAGTGCCATAAAAATACTGTAGAAGTATTTGACTCCTCCAAATTTTAGGTGAAGGAGGCAAAAAGTAGTGAGCAACTTAACCAGTAGTTAATGAGTACCTGTTTATGAAGAGCATTACAAATGACTTAACCAAAGTTAAATAGAATATCATTCTCAGAGGCAGGATAATGATCATTTTCAAACTCAGCTCTTGTAATAATAATGAAGTAACTAATTTTGGAATAATGGTCACACTTGAATCTTTTTGAAGTGAACTATATGATTTGAAGTTTGGATCAAATTTTAGTAAACAGCAACAGCTGACTTCATTTAAAAATTCTATTGATAATAGAGTCTCCTGGGTTGGCTCAGTTGGTTGAGCATCCAACTTGGGCTCAGGTCATGATTTCCGGGTTCGTGGGTTTGAGCCCCACACCAGGCTCTGTGCTGACAGCTCAGAGCCTGGAGCCTGCTTCAGATTCTGTGTCTTCCTCTCTCTCTGCCCTCCCCCTCTCACACTCTGTCTGTATCTCTGTCTCTCAAGAAAATAAATAAACATTAAAAATTTTTTTAAATTATATTGTTAATAAACTTGAATCTGGTCTTCAAATATTATAGTCAGTAAAGTTTGAGTTTTGTATTACTTTATAAATTAATTTCTTTAGTAAAGCCAAACATTGAGACTAGAACATTGCTGTCCAACTGACTCAGAATGACTCATCTGAATCGTTTCTTACATTTGTCATTCCTCTCTTGAAGTGCTTATTTTCTTTGCCTAGTTGATGACATTTTTTCCACTCTTATCATCGCTTCAAAGACAAAATGTTGTAGATCCAGTATTGATTGACTCTTTTTAGTCTTGTCCTATCTTAGATTCATTTCTTTCTTTTGATATTATTTTCGTAGCATGCTACTATAATTTAATTTCCTTTTTTAAAAAGTTTTTATTTACTTATTTTGAGAGACAGAGAGAAAAAAAGTGTGAGTGGGAAAGGGGCAGAGAGAGAGGAGAGAGAGAGAATGCCAAGCAGGTTCCACACTGAACTGTCAGCAGGGAGCCCAACTTGGAGCTTGAACTCATGAAGTGCAAGATCATAATCTGAGCAGAAGTCAGATGCTTAACCTGCTGAGCCACCCAGGTGCCCCAGTTTCCCTTTTGTATACAAAACTTTTAGACCTTTTTATTTTTTATTTTATATTTTTAATTAAAAAAATTTTTTAATGTTTATTTTTGAGAGAGAAACAGAGCAGAGTTGGGGGAGGGGCAGAAAGGTGTGGGGGAGACACAGAATCCAAAGCAGGCTCCAGGCCCAGAGCTGTCAGCACAAAGAGCCTGACATGGGGCTCGAACTCATGAGCTGTGAGATCATGACCTGAGCCAAAGTTGGACACTTAACTGACAGAGCCACCCAGGTGCCCCATATATTTTTAATTTTTTTTAAGC